CTGACGGGTTTGCGGACACAGGTTCATAAGACCTTTTATACTCAGCGTTCAATTTTCTATCAGATCTGGAAGTGTGGCTGAATCGATTGGGGCCACCCTGTATAATTAATCTCCCGTATCAACTCTCTAGGGTATTGTTGCTCTTTCTACTGGTGTAATCAAGTTTGATAAGTTTACAGTAGGATTAACATTTTATGACTTAAGTAGGACTTTATGTAATTAACTTGTGAAAGGTTGAAGTTCCCTGATAAGTATAATATATAGAATACTCTTGAGAACCAGACTGTGGACAGTAAAGACTTATTCGCCAAATATGCCAGCATAAATAACTCCTGATGTATTGACGTCTGTTCAATCTATATCAGCGTTATTATTAGAAGGCCCTTCATTATTCACACTTTCAAACCCGAGAGTTCATATAATCTAATGGTTGAAATTCCCTCGTAAATATATATGTATATATTATATATAGCATAAACAAATACATGAAGTCCCGTCCGCTGGACTCACAGGGTCTCCGGGTCATGCGACATTGTTGCTCGTTTGGCAGCTCCATCCGAGCCCGGAATCCAGGCAATAACAACAATTATTATTCACTAATTCTCTAATTTGTTAACCTTTCAAATTAATAACTATTCAATAGTTTCTTAGTTCTAACAAAGTAGATACATTCATTGAAAGCTCTACCGAGGAACTTACTGTTTTCTTTTTAAATGATTTTAACACAGAACTACAATATTTAAGGCATGGTATTTTTATCAGATATAATTTTCATTTAAGAGCGATTTTTTGTCTTTTACACTTGAGCCTTGCAGCAACTTCAATATTTTCGCAATTTCAGACGGAATTATATCCCCGCTTAGACAATACCGCCTGAAAATACAAAAAGTTTGGTAAAGCCGCACGCGCTTACGAAAATAATACGTGAAGATCTAAATATTCGTCGAGATCTTTATCGGGATTCCTTCGGCTTTGAACCTAGTTGAAACTTCCATAAAAGAACCAGTAGATTTACTGTTTTTTTGTAAAAATAAATACGTGTTTATCAATAAGATACGAGATAAAAATAGTTTTAATCGTTTCAAAATTTAATTTTCGCATACCTTTTAATTTTAAATCTCGTTCTGATAATTACAAGATAGTAAGCCAATACGAAAACAAATCCTTTCGGCTCAGCCGTTCAGCCTGACCGTTTAATTGAGTCGTTTCTGCAGATCCACGTCAACAAATCTCAGTTAATCTCACCTGCCGAGGATAATGGATGGTGGCGGGAATGTCAGGATGCGGGATGGCTTTCTGCCGGCCAGGAGAATTCGGCTGGCGACAGCCGGGTCAAGCTCTGGATTATCTTGAAAGACTGATCACTCTCCATTTCGACCCTGCGCTCTCAGAAGCTCTAATGGTCCTTTGGATAAAAGATCTCTATGTACTTTTTTACGTTGATCTTTTCTTCTCCCTCGTTTTGGCTATTATACGTTCTTCTTTTCTCTCTTTCCGACGAGAATTCTTTGGCCCTTAATGGATCTTCTGTCCGCTTCGTCGCCTCCAACGGAGGTTTTTTTAATTAAGGTGAAATCATCATTAAGCTGTTATAGAGAACAGAAGCTCATTCCATCCATTTTTAATCCACTGATTAAACAAAAATCACCCTTTTCGAAATGTGCACTTTACTTTATGTTTACTTTAATCTGAACTACAAAATTATTTTTCAGGAATATTACAATGCGATAAACTGCAATAACTATTAACAATATTAAGTTCCAACTGTTACAGCGTAATTTTACAGCGTTTTAATTAAAGTTCATTGTTATAAATAAAGTAAACTGATATTTTCGGAGAACACCTATATATATTAATACCTTCCCAGTCACTAGCCAAACATTATACCATGAATAATAGAGAACGAAGTTTTGTAAATAACTTGTTATCACTTTTAGAGCAAGTTTACTAGATTTATAGTGAATATAAATATTAAGGAACATCAGGCAATATCGTTTAAGCCTTAAGATTGAAAACAAATATTCAATCTTAAATTAAGATTATTTCTGGTATAAGTAGCGATCCCTAACCATCCCACAGTCTTCAAAGCTATAATTTTTCGAAGACGATCAGGGTTAAGTATTTATTAATTCGAAAACGAAAAATGAACATGCGTAGTTGAAAACTTGAAAATGTACAAGCATAACACATTCAAGTTAAAAATTAGTGATCACACAAAATAACAATTCAGACGCGTAATTTTCACAATTCAAAATACTTTATTAATTCAATAGAAAAATGGACGACGAGCCAAATGATACCATTGAACCTATTGGCAATTCGATATTTAAATTGAACTGGAGAAATTATGGTTCCAAAACGTTTTTTTGTCTTTCGTTAAAAGGAAATTTTCATTCTAATTAGCTTTATCTCTGATCGCGCTTTATTATCAAATTTATATGAAAATGTCTTAATTATTTTTTCAATAAAGATCCTCGTCGGACAGTAAAAAAGATATGAAGAATAAAGGATTTTCTCTTCCTTTTTTTAAGTTTAAACATACAGTTTCGTACTAATATACACCTAATTATATATAGGTGTATACGAAGTTTGGTGGTATTCAGGGTACTCAATTTTCTACTGAGAAACCCAATGAGACGAACCCCCCCACTGAGAAGAAAATTTGCATGGGGGGGGGGCATAAATACATTTACACAAAACCTAGCTTTTTAACTAACTAACTTTACTACGGCGATGTCTTCCCTCCCCAATTACTCCATAAATATCTAATAACTAACCTACTTAATCGAATCCAGCGGCCCTAAGTTTGAACCCGATATACATACAAATGGGCTTGTATTTTTTCATCCGTAAAAAATACATAACTAAAATAAATTTTTAAAAACTAACCTACTTTGGTGGGTCTACGGGAAAACCAACAAAGAAGAGATTGACTATTCCAAAGATTTATTTACAAAATCAAATTGTAAATATAAGTGGGCTATGTTTTTTATTTACCTCTATTGTTTTAAAACGGGTAAAATATTGATAATCAGTAGAGGTTGTCTAATAGATAATTAAAAATACTAAGCGTGACCACTTTTTTGCATCCCAGTGTAGTTTAAAAGCGACAATACGCATTTATTCGCTTCATGTATCCAATCAATTTCTAACTGCGATCACTGCTGTGTTCAGAAGTTCTTTGAGACTCGTGAATCGGCCACATCTTTCATCGGTGCTCATTGTTCACACCCTAAAGCCGGGAACACACCGATGCTACGCCATGCGACGCTACCCGACGCCTTGCCACGTTTTGGTGGGGTGTGCACATCTATCCGACGCAATGATTATGAGCACAACCATCTAATAAATTGTTTGTTAAAGTTAATTGTTTTAAATAATGTTTCTCCTAACCATCATAATTAAACAATGTTTATAAAAACTTATGAATTTTTGATCTCGTTTAATTTGGTTTACATTAAAATAACATGTTGTAATTAATATAACGACAAAATTACATGTACTTAGTTTGAAATAAACTACAAAATATGAGTGTCCTGTTCTGATGCTACCCGACGAAAATGGTGTAATTGTACGAGCGAAACTATGAAATAAATTGTTAATTAAATTTTATGACCAAAACCGTGTAATAAATTGTTCCAATTTTAGTATATGTACCGCCGAAGCGAGTACAGTAAATTGTTAGTTAAACTCATTATATCAAAAAATCGTATTCCGGTGTTTTGATTAATTTTATACCAAACCATTAAAATTAATTTTTTAAATAAAAACTAATTAATTTTTAATCACAGTTAATTTGGCTTATATTAAAATAAGTGTGTTGTAATTAATATAACGACAATAATACATGTAGTTTGAATAAAAATATGAGTGTCCGGTTCTTTTGTCTTCGACTGTACTCGATGCGACCCGACGAAAATCTGGACTGTGGGGATCGCAGAGCGTCGGGTAGGTTAGCGTGGCATAGCATAGGGTAGATGTGCACGGGGGTAATGCAACCTTATGGAAAATCGGAGTTTGGATTTGCGTCAGGTAGCATCGTGTAGCGTCGCATGGCGTAGCATCGGGTAAGTGTGTTCGTGGCTTAATACGTGTCTCATAGTTATTGTGTATGGAATTATCGAGTCATTATCATTATTTTTTTTCTGTTTTATATTATGATAATAAGTATAGAATTAAATTGTATTATTATATAATCTTGTAATGTTACGAATACCAGCATAAATATAATTTATTATAATATAACATTGCATTATCGAGCTTCGAAAAGCCAAATGCGAACTTTGTTCAAAATAACGAGGTTCTTTTCATTTGGTGACTTGTACAAAACAACTAACCCCTCTCGCAAAAAAATCCCGTGATCTTAAAAAGCGAGCAAAGTCAATAAAATTACATAAGTCATGCAAATCTCTCTTTTTCAAACTCACGAGGTACTTTATATGCATAACAAGTTTCTGCGTGGTGCAATGTTCAAAGTGCCTTTTTTCGCTGGAATCTGACTTCTGTTACGTCGATTATCTTATAATTACTTATACATGTTTAATAACTCCTAAAATGATTCTTATATGAAGTGAAAGGAATTTGTTAGAATGAAGTGAAAGGGATTTGTTATTTATTCAATATTGTCTTCCAAATTTCAGCACACAAAAGACAGTATTTGTTAGGCTGGTAACAAGTTTCCATGTTTAATTTTTTGTCAAAGGTAGTTCGTTTATCTTCCTTTTTACACCACCCCCATCGTTTCCTCCATTCTTTCAGGATTGTTTACCTTTGAATGGAGTTTAACGAGCGTTATCCCAGATTGCCGATTTGGCCAAATAGTTTACGAACCTTAGGGATTCGGGACAGTATTTTCGTCTACACCCCAGAGAGCAGTACCCATCTCATCGCGAGGGACTTCACCCCGAGGCAAACCCGAGCGAATTGGTCCCGAGGGAGAAAAGTTCTTTATTGTCGCCTTGCTGTTTATTTTACCAAAAGCTATACCTAAAATACCAAAAAAAATAACAAACATAAAACATGTGTTGCAAGATCCAGATGATATCTCTCAATACGTAACACTTCTATTCAAAATTTACAAGGTTTTTTCTTATTTTAAATTCTTTGTACACATTCAAGGGACTCCATAATACGACAATCGCGAGTGTCTCCAGAATTTATGTCTAGGGTATGGGAGACAGTAAACGAGATGGAAAGGGGGCCGCAAAAAGGGTTGAAAAGTCCTTTAACTGCGGTCCGATCGGTAAGTTTCATTTTGTTTTGATTTTAATGGTTTGCCGCATTACATGTTTACGGTTTTGCATAATTTACAAGTTTCCTCATTTGAGGAACAGAAGAATTTTAAATAAATTAAAATGTGATTTGCAAATTATTTCTAAACATTAAAAATTTAACCAGGTCCCGGTCCTATTTATAAATTACCACCGGTTGTCGGATATCCTGGACATGATATCACGAAATACAGGAATCCCGCCTATTCCATGGCGAGGAGAACTAATGCCGGGCGCCCTAAAACGCGAACGGGAGTTAAAGCAGACACAGGAAACCTTTACAATTTAGGAAAGGTCAACAGATATGGCAAATTCTATTCACCAGCGTTTTCCCTTTTGCAAAGAATACCGGGAAAGGGTAAGCGAATGGTACATTTTAATTTAATTTAGATATTACTTAGCCTTTTTGAATTAGTTCTAGGTATCGGGCCCGGCCCAGCAGCTTACGATACTCAAAACATAAAAGATTTGAGCCGGCCAACTCCGCCAGCTGCATCCATCAAAAGCAGACCAAAGTCAATTTATAAAAACATAGGACCCGGTCCCGGGGCGTACAATCCTAAACCCCCGCCGACAAAATCGGTCAAAATGTATTATCACGTTAAAGTCGATAATCATTGAACGATTGTAATTTTACTTTCTGCCTTTAGGACTTTTAGGCACCCGGAAAAGATGAATCTAGTCGGACCGGGACCCGGTGCTTACGGGGCGCCGGATATGAACAAAGTACGCAAGAAGCCCCAGTACGCGAAAATCTTAAGCAGGCCTCAGCAAACAAAAGCGCCCGTGGGCCCTGGACCGGCATATTACCCCAAGAATCTGGGACGCAGGGTCCCCGCATTCTCTTTCGGAACTAAGCATTCGGAATGCGCTGGGACTTATACTCAACCCGATGACTTAAGTACAGATACATTATGTTAACATGAAAAAAGTGTAGCCCTCAGTTGGATTTTGGAAGCTGTTTTGAACTACAACTAATGGGACAACTACATTTTATGGCGTTACTCACTCTTTTGGTCCTTTGTCGAAATAAACTTTTAATTCTCCACATCTATTGATTCTATGTTGCTGCAGCTTTATCTTCGGTAACAGCGTAAGGATGTCATTACAAGTTTCAACAAGTTTCCAACGTTTTATGTCGGTAGAGAACATTAAAATCGACCACTTCTCCTTACAAACCATGTTTTACTAGCTTTAGCTATTTTTTACGGGCTCTAAAATATTTCTGACATCATGATAATAAAAATAAATTCAGAAATTACGGTGCTAGAATTATACACAAGTGAAGTATATAATTTCCTCTTAAAACCAGGACTACAATTAATAGTTCTCACTGGGTTGAAAAATAATTAACATATTAAATAATAATGTAAGATCTAACGATCTGTAAACTTATTGTAGGCGTTGGGTTACTTATTGAATCCTCACCCTTAATAATAATGAAATTAAAAATGCAATAAATTTAAATAATACCCATATCAAAAAGCTTCAATTTGAGTAAAGCCTCTAGGGAAAAAAAAGTTTAAATGTTTAAATTTTTATACAATTATTTACAAAATTAGACCTCTCTGATTCGACAGTAACTACCTCGGTTATAGAAAATGATGTTAAGCCATTATATTATCTTAAAAAACACACTTTTTTTAAGTAGTTCTTCTATTTGTCTGATAGCACGCCTTATAAAAACTATAAATATGAGTTAAACTCTCTCCACAAAATTAAGGTAGACTTTCTTATTGCCGATTTTTTTTATTTATCCTTAAATAACACTGAAGCTGAAACTTCAGTAAATTTTGTGAAGTATCAAAATTTTCAGTAAATTTCAACTTTGTTCTTTAAAATATTTTACAAACGAGAATACTTTAGCTATTTACCACCAAAGTTTTCTCTAAATTCATGCCTTATTTCCTCTTTTTTTCAACAGAAACATTATGTCAAGGCGCTATTGTTTATGACTTTAATCTATGTAACTATCCTTGATTTTAGATGTTGTATGAACAATAGCGACTCTAGTTGTACGTTTTACCTTTTGATCGGTCAATATTTACGCAGCGGGAATATGCGGATGAAAATGAGCAAGAGAAACGAAGAACACACCGCTGATAGGACTAGAACCTTCCTGAAGATGGTAAAAAAGAATCATATTTTAATTAAACATCTTAGATGAAAAGATTTTCTATGAAAAAGAAGGAAACCATGCAAACCATTCTATGGAGATAATCAATCCAAGAATCTTCTTCTTTATAAGGAAAGAAAAGAAACTTCACAATGGATCAAAGTAAACAGAGCCGAATGTAGACAAGATTCTTGACGACCACTTCAGGATCAATGGGCATTTGAGCGAGATTGGCATCAACCTAAACGCACGTAGATTCGGCAAAAACAGAGACCCTGGAGTGTGGAGGAAGTGTTGTGGGACCTGCAAAACAATCTTGAAGATATACAACCATAGCTGCCATGCAAATTCCTCGATTAATTGTAGTCCACGGCATACTTAAAGTATATAACAACAGGAAATTCTTTTTAGAAAGTGTAATTAATCAATCATCGAGACGAGCTGCAAAAATGCATGTAAGTGCATGACGCGCACGAAAAGGATTACACTGATGAATGAATCTGCAAGAACGCCTAACTCTAAAAATTGTTACAACTTTATGATTAATAAACTCTTTTTTTGGAGCTTCTTGACCAGAATTTCTGCAGAACTGCTTTCATGACCATCAAATAGATCGTCAAGCTTTTTATTTATAAAGTTGATCTTGAATTTTGAATTTTTTAAGTATGTATGACTTATGTACTTGTAATTTGATCGGACTGAACATGTTGGTCTGCCTATCCTCGCTGGGTTGCTTTATCAAATGCGTTTCGATATTTCTTAAAAAAAGAAGATCTACGATGAACACAAAGACCGAACAATAAAACTCCCAGAGTTAATCCACAAAAGACAACGACAAAGATTAACCCCTCATAACATTATAAAAGAGACTTGACTTCGTAGAAATCACACAGACCTAACACTGAATATGACGTGATTCCGGAATGCGCCTGACAGACCAACTCAGCGAGAACAATCTGATCAGGAACCATCAAATTCAGGTATATCATTCCGCAGACCACAAGGGAATCTCTTTATATATATCTGTTTATTTTAATAGGCTGAACCCCATTTCTAACCATCCCTATATATATTAGGTGTCTAATTGTTAAAAATATTAACCTACATAAGCATGTAAGAGGGAAAACAACGAGGGAGCACCCATTTAGTTTTTATTAATTCAAAGCTCGTGTCCTCCCCTGACAAGTGACATGTTACTACTGGAATGAAAGGGAATAATTAATACATATTTTAATAATTAGATATTGAAGTCAGCTTGTGGAATCAGGGGATCAGCTTTTAACTGTCAAATTGACAAAATACATCCATGTTGCAGAAGAAGTCTCTTCGGAAAATTGCTGAAATTGTTTGAATTGAAATGCTACGTTGGAACACGACTAGATAACATGAAATTTGGTTGTTACCATTCAATAACACAGTTGAATGGGAATCTTCAATCTTTTAGTAGAACTGCGAAAACCTTGAGTTATGAGGTTCAAGCTATAAAATATAATAAAATTCAAAATCATATTGGAAACCTTGAATTTAAAAGTAGGCAAAATATAAACTCGCTTATACAAAATCTGTGTTACAGCATAGCAGAGTTTTTACATTTAGAATCTAGTGTTATGAAATTTGATACAAAATATTTATGTACCTGAAGTACATAACCATTTAAATGATTAATGATAAATTGCATTGGTTTCTGGGATATGGAAAATTAAAAGGAAATGACATAACCGATTTTGCTATCTTCTGAGCTTTTTCAGGTGTTTGATTGTAAAATCACACCCAAAATAGATAAGAAGAATCAGAAAGAAAGGAAAGATTAATGAAGGTCATTATGGACATGGGTCGATAATTTGAAGAAAAACTATAAAAATCTATTTTGTACATGATTGTACATGAAGATGATGAAGAAATTATAGAGAAACCAGTTGTGTCATTTCCTTTTATTTTCCTATGGATAGTTTTATCCCAGATCCCACGCGAATCATGGATAAATAGTAGTTGCTTTCTTTCATTTCGTCTAGTTCTCATGTTCTCTTTATCGACAAAGTTGAAAAAAGTTCCTTATTAAGTTATTACTTAGCAAACAACTAGGATGAGAGGTAAGTCTAGGTTCAAAACCACAAATCCTATACGTCCTTTGAAGTAAGTTGAAAATTGACGGGATCAGAGTGGCAGGGTAGATAAGTTAATGTAAGATGAGAGAGAAAATGTATACCAGAACGAAGTTCAAACTGTTCAGACTAAGTCGTTTTAAAATATTTTATATTATATNATATATTATTAGAATTCTCTATTTATTTTTTAATTTATTTTCAATAATCACTTTTAGACTTGACGAATGAGAATGAGAGGAAGGTCGAATTTTTATAATAATTTTAGCGTTATAGGTGCAATAATAAAACCTTTCTAATATTACTTTATTGCTGATGATGGAAATCGAGGCACTTTCCAGCTATGGATTAACTTTTTAACCGGAAAAATCAGGATTAAATATAATAAAAAGTCATGCATTTACATTAATAGTGCAATTACCAAAATAATAAATACATTTAAAAAACAAGACTGGAGAGAGTAGGCTAGAAATGCCCCTGAAAATAATTTGCATCATTAACAATAAGACAATAATAAAATGGATGTATTATTTTTCCTAAAAAAACTATAAACAGGTATAAAAATATGATAAAAGGAGAAATATATTGTAGTATAAGATCACGTATGTTTTAATATGTAAATGTAGTTTATTTTAATATCGAACATACACATAATTTACATTTATTGGACGAAGACAGAGCTTTCCCTTTTATTGTTTTAAAATAGAGAATCAACAGACTTCTGTTTCCGATTCAGGCTCTTTAAAAGGTTGCATGCATTTAGAATGCTTGGTGCCGAAGGAGTACGCCGGGGGGCTACGTGTATTTGTCAACATCGGGTTGTAGGATCCTGGGCCGGGGACCTTTTCTCCTTTCTTGTCCTGCTGCCTTCCGGCAATCGAAGACATCGGAGCGCTCTTTTTCACCACCTCGACGTTCGGACTGCCGTATGTATTGGGCGCCGGGGCGGAAAATTTCTGCTTCGATTCTCTTCTGGACGTCCTGAGAATATTTAAGGATGAAAAAACGTTTTGGTTTTAGGACTGTGAACAACTTACAATACTGCGTTTGGTGCTGAATGCATTGTGGGGTGGCCGTGTCCGATCCCTCCTGGAGATTCATACTCTGCAGGGCTCGGCATGTCTATGCCTTTAGTGTCTCGTATTCTTCCTTTCAGAGACGCACTAGGTGGCTTTCTATATCTAAGATCTTCGAACTTTTCTGGGCTATAAGCCGAAGGGCCAGGCATTTCCTTTTTATCTTTAAAAATCATATTTGTAATAATAACAGTAAAACAATTTAAAATCTTAAAGTAACAATAAAACAATATACGTCATGTGTAAAACCAACCGCGATCAAATGATCACTATTAAAGTGAAAAATTTAAATATAAAAAAAGTAAATGTCAAAATTTAATTGTTGTTTAAAGAGTGATGACCGACCAGCTTTATAATGCGCTTGTTTTGTGATTACAGATGTGATGTAAATGTGATAGAAGTGAATATGATAGTATTGGAACTAGTTTCGGTGCTTTATTTTACCTTACTCAGGGATACCTTAACCAAATTCCATGAGAAATCAGATTCTAACGATGTAAAGCCCCAAATGTGAGCAGATGTAACCGTACCTGAAGGCAACTTACACAAGTCCTCTTTGTTTATGTTTATATTTCCACTTATTCTGCGATATTAGCGTGTAAAAAACGGTTATTTATTAAACGACAATACAGATTTAAAAAGAGGAGATGGTGAAAAGAGGCAAAAAGTGTTACAAAAATTGAGAAAAAAATTTGATGATTACCAAAATGCGGGATTTATTCTCCCCATGCTCTGCAGCCTTCTGGCTTATTCTACCTATAACGTTTAAATATTGACTAACAATCTGTGGAGTATTTAATAAGTTAATTGTTAGTTTGCACTTAACTAATTAATCAAAAATATATATTTTTATATGGCACAATTTCATTACCATAATATTCGTTTGACCATATCCCACCAAATATAATCGAGAATGTGGTCCAAAATTAATAGGCCAGGATGCCAAGCTTTTGGCAATTATGCTTTTTTCAGGGGTTCACGTCACTAATAATAAAGTGTTAGTTATATTAATAGTTGGACATAAAACAGTTCATATTTCACATGTTTTTACACTGATCACAAAAAAAATCGCAAAAATTAATTAAAATTATAATTTTTTCTTTGAGAAGAAAAACGAACAATCAAAAAACAACGTTTTAGTGCTTGAGATCAGCTAATATGCTGTGGATACAGGGTTTAAGTAGGTAAGTTGATCTGTACCAAAGGTTATTCGATTTTTCGCAGTGAGAAAAACTATATTTTATATGGGAACGAGTAATTTTTGGTTTAAGCCAGGAGGGTATGTGCGTTTTTTTTTTGATATCTGAGCGTTTTAAAACTCATTTCAGTCAAGTCAGTTTTCCATTATTTCTCAACGAGTAGCACTATTTGTTAAGCCGACTTATCTATCCTTAAATTTGGGTAAGTTGACTAATCTAAATATTTTTCATCACTGGAATAGGCAATTGATTTCCATAAATTTATCCCACTTTTTATTATATTTGTGAACTTGGATTACAAGGCAGTCCTTTCTGGCTTCTGTGACATGAATCTTGACGAAACTTTGATGATCAGTAAGTATAAAGAGCTCGAACAAGCAGTTCTCAAGTGTAGGTTTAAATCAGAGATATGGTCAAAACTGAAGTACAATGAACTTTTGATAACTTTAATAAACCCTTTTGAACCATTATGTTTCTCTTTTTGTACATTCCTGCAGATTACCAGGCTATGCGGGCTCTTTGGTTAAAAGATTGCTGAAATTTTTAATAACTTAATACTGAACTAGTAATGAACCCAATTAATTGTTTGGTGCCCCTATTAAACATTTAGCAGTAACGCGTTGGTGACCTGCAAACCAATGGCCCAGTCTTATAATTTTAATCAAATTAGTAAGCATAATCAAATTCCAATATGCAACAACTCGAACAGAAAAATAAGTCGACTTCGTCTGGAATAATTTGCGCGGATAGTCGCGGCATAACTCCCAAAAATAAGCGTTCTAACGCTGATAAACAGGGTATCACATGAGCAGGCGTCAATATTTCAGATTAGCCTACATTAGACGATTCTCCAGTGTATTCGAGATATTTCCCTTTTTACGTTAAGCCGTGTATATGCCACTGAAAATAATAGTCATTATTCTAGAGAAAAGACCTCAAAATTATATTTATCACAACTACACAAAGAGACAAGATACTTTTGCTGAAAATCATTTATGCATATAAGAAAATTGATAAATTTGCTGCTAATAAATGCTACCAAAATTTTCCATAAAATATGGTTACATTACTAGGTAGGTAGTTAGCCTAATTACTCTTCCACTCGCAATTTAAAAGGACTTATTGGCATCGATGATAAAATGGCGTGCAACAGTGACTACGTCATAATCAAAAGGGAAAACAAAATCATGAAAATAAATCATGTAAATGATTGCTTACAATTAGTTACTTTCATGATATAAAGCCTTTCACGGTTGTGAAAAAGTACATAGATAACTTGTTACACTATATATTGCTCCATTTCAAATTATATAAATATATAATTATACAGAGAAAAACACTCTTATTTGATAGAGGACATAAAATGCGCTACCTCCTCCTGGGGCATGTTCAATTTAATACAATGCACACAATTTTATATAATTGTTTACATATTTGCCTATTATTCATTTAAAACATATAACAAGTGGTAAGAGGTATATGTCTTTTTAGATGTATCTTACCATTATGGAGTTCTATCCTTGGTTTTTGAGGATTGGTCGGATTGCAAAAAATGCTAAATTTTTTTGTAAAAGTAAGTTACTATTCCAAAGTGTTTAATATCATAAAACCACGCATAACTAACTTTAGTTCACTCCAATTTTAAAAACTTTTGTATAAATACATGTCAAAATAAGTAATAAAAATCGAACTACCCAATCAATCAATATTTAAAGGGATCCATTAAGCATAACATAATCTTATACATATGGGTTGTTAATGTTGCTGTAGAAATTATTGAGATGAATATGGCACCATATGTAGCCTTATAACGGAAAATCTACACTGGACCGACGAAAAGCGTGTGAAGAAAAAATAATGTATCATAAATTAATTTTACCTTGTATGTTTGATATAGTACAGTAAAACTATAAAAACATACCCTGATAAATTTAAAAAACCGACAGGTCGATAAAGAAATATATAGTCAGAACAATTTTTTGGGATTTAAGAAGGGTAATGCGAAGTTAGGTTTATCTTAAAAGGCTACCTGGTAAGCTGTTTCTCCTGCCGAGTGAGAACATCAGAGGATTTTTAGTTCCAAACCGTGTGACATCTCCGATGTCGTATTTAGGACCGGGAACACTCTCAGCCTTTTTCGATTCGTGTCGCGTACGCATGGAATAGGCGGGTTCTCTCCATTTGGATATGTCATGATCTTGGTATCCTACCAGGTTCTTAAGTTTGTACATGTTCGGCGCAGGAACTAAAAACGATGACGTAAAAGGGCCGGTTTTATTATAAATTGAATTTCAATCGTCATTACCTACTGGCAAGCACATTTCAGACCCCCTACGAGGACCGTCATCGATCCTCCCTGTGTTGCCGCCGGCTTTTTCTTTTTTTCCGCTAGCTCCTCTGCCTTTCCCCTTTTTACTCGGCTTGTCCAATATTATTATCTGTTGAGCCATGTTGTTGTTGTTGTTGTCTTCTTATGAGTTCTGTCTGTGTCCTTCTTTTCAGTGGTTTCCTATTAGCATCCTAATAGGAAAGTTTGTTTTATTGTGTGCTGTTGTTTGTTTGAAATGTTGACAAAGAATAAGTGATGTCCATGTGTTTCTTCTAAAACACACGAAATATTATCCCATGTGTTTCAGTTGTCCATTTTTTTATTTTTGGGTATCAGTCTGATCAATATTTGGCGATAATACGGCCTCTGAATTGTTCAATTATACCAGTACAATAAAGTATATTTTAGTTTACGCCTACAGTTCCAATAATTTTAATTCATTTAACTGGCAGGATTAGTGTACGATGGAAAAAAAGATATTTTCTTCTGAATTGCTTCATCCTATTCTGGAAATATGTCGTTGCAGCATCGTACATTCAAAATATATATATATATTTTTTTTTGTAGTATACTGGATAACAGTTCTACATCGATGTAAGCATACAAACCAAATTAAATTAATACAAATTCATTCACTTCAAACTATTATTTCACTTAAATAAATTAAAAATCAAATTAAAATTATTTAATATAATTTTTAAAATTAAATTAAAATTATTTAATATAATTTTTAAAATTAAATTAACCTTTTTAAATTAAAATTCACCCTTTTTTATAATAAATATGAAAGTAGTCTTGTAATTTGAGCAATGTGAGAAATTGTGGTTTTTAGGAACTTTTTTTTATTAAAAAAAACTTTTTTTTTAAATTAACTCTTTTTCAAAAAAGAGTTAAAAACACATGACAAGACAATACAACTTAACAAACTTGACAAAATACAAAACTTAAAAATTTAGGTAGTGCTATATTAGGGCATTTTTAATATAAAATAATTGGGCTCATAAGTCAAATGAAAGTTAGTTTCAATGAAAAGAAAAAATCTACGAAATGTGAAAAATTGTTGTATGTAAAAGTAAACTGATTTTATATTTAAAAAAAGCTAAAATTAAAGTGAGGATAATACGTTTTTATATTTAATTTTATATAATTTTAATTGTAATTAATTTTGATGTGGCCTTCTCACCAAGAGCAAAATTATTTTATATATATTTTTTTTTTACATATAGGAATTTTAATTTACGTACTTATATTTCATACTATCTCCTATGTTGTTCATGTTTTAAAGCAATCGTTAATTTGAAATAAAGATAAGGCAATTTGAAATTAAAAATGTTACTTTGAAGGTGGTACATGTTAATTTGAAATTAAAAAGTGTTAATTTTTCGGTAAAAAGCTTTATCATGTTACGTCACAAAATTGATCCAGTACAATTGCCATATTCCGGAAATTCTTGTAATCTGATCATTGTAATTCATTTTGATTGGGAGGATGAATACAAGATGAAGAAAGAAGTTGGTTTTTTTGATTACAGTTTATTTTAATTTCAACTTATAATACCCAAAATATTTTCTGAAGATATTTATTTGTATTTATCTATTTTTTATTTTGTAAATATTAAAGTAAATTGAAGCAGAGGAGTTTATTTCTTTAAATCTCTTGAACTGTTAAATTATTGAACGTTTTCCAATAAACCAATGTTGTTAAAACAACCATGCGAGACACCGAAATCTGTCTACTTGACCCAGAAAGATGATTTTGAGTTTATTTTTAGCCCGAAACCCCCACACTATACCGGATTCAATTAATTAATTGATTTACAAAGGCTAAAGACAACAATGGTAGGTAATCATAGATCAGTTTTACCAGATTTACCAATTTAAAATATTTTTTCCCGTCAGACGGTGTATTAATCAATAAGTTTTCCACAAAAAAATTATAAGATATTATAATCCGTCCTAAGAAGAAACGATAAATTGAAATAATTGTTAGTAAAATGCTAATCATTGCCAAATTCAATATCGAATTATTTACGAAATGATTTCCCTGTTAAGAAATCTTATAACCTATAAGTGTCACATCTGATTATGTAGGATGTTATAGCATAAGGTTTCAATTTGTGTTCACTCCCTTTTGAAAAATAGCATAGCCCTTCTTGAATAAGTCCGCGAACAGGCAATCCCCGTCCAATGACAGGACGAATTGTGACTTTTATTAGAAGCGTTCTGATCAAAAGGGGGTGACTCAAAAGAGGCGGGATGGAGGTTTCTCGTAACTTCATCAGACACTGGTCCCCCTTCTAGGTAATGAATCCTCCCCACAAATATCTTCCTTCTTCTATTTCTATTGTCCGGTGAGTTTCACTGGCCTTGCCCGGTTATTTTATTTCCCAAACAGTACAGTCTCCAGATGGCCGTTGATGAACATTTAAATAGGGCAATCTCGCCGATAACATCGTTGTTCTTATAAGTAATGTAAGAATTTTTAGCATTAAAAAGCTGCATGAATTTATTGAGGATGTAAAATCGTCCAAGAGTGATGACAGAGCCATCGCTTGATAACCCTTCTTTACAAACATGATGCGCAAACCATGAAATAATCCTTACCCCACTGTTTTGTTCTTTATAGCACAATAAGCTGGCCATTTCGGTTTCTTATCTCCGTCCGACAGCCAATTGTTTATATTCGACGTTTTATACGTTGGGCTTGTGGCCCGATGACCCGCGAAAACCTTTTGTATTTCCATCTCATGAGGTTTGGAAGAGGCGGAATGACCTTCCGGGTCATCTCTCTATCGGCAGACTCAACGGCTCTTTGTCGATATTAATGGCCCTGTTATGGCAAGCTGTGCATTGTCCACGTGGAGAACAAAGGACATTTGAAATGTGTAGTCGTAGACAACATCCTACAATCATTCAAATCTTTGGGCTGGCAGATTCAGACGCACAACTGTATACAGTCTGGTTAAACGATTCGACTTTACATTGGGCCGAGTACGTCTGTCATCTGCTGACTATTACTGATGGACAAGCACAATTTCGCTCGGAATTGCATAACCTCAACACACATTTTAATGTGAATTTAAACCATTTTAATGTCCGATTACATTCAAAGTATTTTATAAACGAAAACATTTTTAATAATTTCACCTACTACTCTATTGGTCAATTTTCTTTTCAATTTCAATCCCTGAAAACGTGGCTTAACTTAGGAATAAATAACTCATATGCATCAATTTCTACTTTGACAGCTATGCTTCTCTGATTTTTTTTCAACTTGTTCTTATAAACAAATAAGTCTTCAATGTTGATTGGGATTCGGGTTGTGGTCTTCAAACATACAATGTTATTATATCAACGCCCAAGCTTTCGACAAGTTTTATTGCCTTCTTCAGGGGATCTACAGAGACATAGGGACATAATCATTTAGACAGTTATAAATTGTATAAATAGTTATAAAATATCAGTTTTTTGTTACTTACAGATACAAAGTCAAATCGAAAAAACACATTGCACATTCCACGATATGTATACAAACAAACTATATACATATATAATAAATAAATAAATAAAAACCTCTTCTTAACAGCCTCTTACATATATAGGCATTTTTTAAAAACCAGTAACAATTACTTAATAAATAATATTCTTTTGGTACATAAATATCACAGGCGTTTTGACTAGNTATGTTGCCGCACCCGTTCGGATAAATATTGTTTTGTTTGGCCGTAATAAGTCTTCAATTAGCAAATGTTCCGCGATGGTTTTACTGCAGGTTATTACATTACTCCAAGGATATATTGAATAGGTTTTCTTATAATTTACACACAGGAGTCAACTCTCTTGTGTCATCTGGTTTTCTCAAAAACTACTCAACCTAAAAAAAATTAAAGTGTAGGGTAGTCCGTACTGAATTTATACCACTTAAAAGAATTTATTTTAAACATTTTCAAAACTATGATCGGCAATCTCTCCAGCAACTTGTGGGTTTACAGACATTGAAGACATATGCTCTACTATGAACCATTGCAATCATCACAATGTGTTATTTTCTTTTCATTCTTAAAAAAGTTAAAATATCCAATTTCTGTTTTCCAAAAAGTAACCTTCATTTTCAATTACTGAAAATTGGATCAGAAAAACATTAGATAGTGTCAAAATAATCGTGAAATCAGATAAAGTTTTTGTGCTCTATCTGGTTTAAATTGTTATTTTTACAATGACTAAAGTTTTGTTGAACCGTTTTTCAAATGGTTTTCACAGTTTTTCGTAAAACCGAAAGAACTTAAACGAAGTTAGTGTTAATTTGAAAAAAAGCTGTGTATACATTAATTCACTACTTTCGTGGTCCGCTTGACCAATTAATACATGACAATTAATTAAGATTTTTAGTTGAGATGAAAAAAAAGTTAATGGCACGAGAGGGATTCGAACCCACGACCTTCGTCTAGATACGCCGCTGCTCTACCACTTGAGCTATCGTGACCTCGATCCACTCGGACGTCAACTCCCCATCTCAACCCCACCTTATGAGTTTTCCCTCCTTTTGCCATTTTTCAAATGTCGTGTAATCGGTTTGGATTCTCGACAACAATTGACGGAGAGCTTTAGTGAAGTGTACTTCATTTTTCCATTTTTCCTCTCGTGCCATTAACTTTTTTTCATCTCAACTAAACCTTAATTAATTGCTGTATATACAATTTATTTTTTGACGAGGGTTCGCAAGAGAAGAGGTCATATCAATCCTAACGGTGCCGATGTTTTTGAAAAAGAGCCTATTTGTTAGTATGTCGGGTTCGAATGCGGAGCCGCTGGATTCGAACCCGGTACCTTTACCTTAGTCATGAGCGCCCTGTCAACGCCTAAACCCTTGCGGCCACCGATGCCTCTGCGGTATATACATTATAAGGAAAATTCTGTCTGCCGGAGGTCAATAAATCCAACAAAAATAGTAGTAAAAATAGTTTTTGAACATAGATTATGAAAGTAAAGTAAAATTTGAAATAACTTGTTTAAGAGTTAAGTTCCTTAACAGATTCATACTTGCATTGGCATGCATGACTACATTATTCTAGAACATATTATTGATATAGGCTGAATAGATAAGCCAATTTTAAATCTTATTGTTTTAATTATGACATGTCATTATTAACGGAAAAAATTGACGGACCGACTTCCGACAATTACTCACTAAAGACAGGACACAAACGACTAAAGCACAAGTTGTCAAATTCGAACCTCGCTTTATTAAGAATAATTACAAGCGAAACACGTTCGCCCGAAGGAGTTTTCAATTAAACCCCGATACAATTAAATTAGAAAATTCCGTTCG